TAGGTTGGAGGCCATCGCTCTTAGGTTGGAGGCCATCGCTCTTAGGTTGGAGGCCAGCTCTTAGGTCGGAGGCCATCGCTCTAAGGTTGGAAATCATCGCTCTTAGGTTGGAGGCCAGCTCTTAGGTCGGAGGCCTTCGCTCTTAGGTTGGAAATCATCGCTCTTAGGTTGGAGGCCAGCTCTTGGGTCGGAGGCCATCGCTCTTAGGTTGGAGGCCATCGCTATCAGGTTGTTTGGAAGTATCTTTCCAAAAAAGGTTAGGTTGGAGGCCATCGCTATTAGGTTGGAGGCCATCGCTTCTAGGTTGGAGGCCATCGCTATTAGGTTGGAGGCCATGGCTATTATATAGATGGTTTGCAAGTATTTTCCAAAAAAAGGTTAGGTTGGAGCCATCGCTATTAGGTTGGAGGCCATGGCTATTAGGTTGGTTGCAAGTATTTTCCAAAAAAAGGTTAGGTTGGAGGTCATGGCTATTATTAGGCTGGTTGCAAGTATTTTTCCCAAATCTTTAAAATGTATTGTATTTTCAGCGAACAAACGGAACCGTCGACCTCGCCTCAGGATGAGGACGACACTCCATGGCACGTGCAAATCACGCAGCCCATCACCTTGGATCAAGGCATCGAGCACAGCCGAGTACAGCCGAGCGCTTCTCACTTTATGCAGTTTGCACAGGGCACCAATCAGGAAGGGGGACATGTCGGGCGCCATATCAAAGTGGAAGTAGTGCTTTCATACTTGTGTTAAACGGAGGGTCATATTACCAGTCAAAGTAGCCAGAACACCAAACAGTCTTGAATGACATTTCCTTCGCAATCATTTTCTTCCTTGTTTTGTGAGGTATTCCTGAATTTTCTATAGGTGATCAGGGAATCCGAAACCAGAGGTCGTTGCACCCAGCTCCGCTGTGTAGCGGTGGTGTGGTTAGGGGCGAGGTAAGACCTCAACCTGGGCCATGCATAGACGGAATCAGTGAGAAGAATGCCGCCCGCGACCTTGCGCGCTTCCTTAATGCCGATGAGGGTCGGTCCTGGTTGGTCGCGTGAAGAAGACAGAACGCCTGCGCGCAGGAGAGAGAGGTATATTAAATTATAGTGCTGATGTCGAACATTTCATTGGAATTCAATTCTTGACCACCGCGTCGTTATAGTTTCCCGGCGCATTGTTTTTGTTCAAGAGCAAAAGGCGTGTTTCAGTTATTTTGTGTGATTCTTGCTTGATAGATTTTCCTCTTCCAGTCGTAGCCCAGTCACACACGTATTCCATGTGATCAAGAGCTAGATGCCACGTCCAAATTCATTTGACCGACCGAACTCCAACACGGTTACACGTGGAAGGTGGGGAGGATCCGGCTTACTATGCGCTTTGCGTGCGAGCAGCTTCAGACAAGGCCGCACTGAAAAAGCCTACTAGTAGCCATGGCCTCCACCACAGTAGCGTTCTTGCTGCTAGTAGGGATGCCCTTTGTTCCTAGTAGCTTCTTGCTCCTAGTAGTAAGGCCAGGAGCCCCTAGTAGCGTTCTTGCTCCTAGTAGTAAGGCCAGGAGCCCCTAGTAGCGTCCTTGCTCCTAGTAGTAAGGCCAGGAGCCCCTAGTAGCGTCCTTGTTCCTAGTAGTACGGCCAGGAGCCCCTAGTAGCGTCGTTGCTCCTAGTAGTAGGGCCAGGAGCCCCAAGTAGCGTCCTTGCTCCTAGTAGTAAGGCCAGGAGCCCCTGGTAGCGCCCTTGCTCCTAGTAGTAAGGCCAGGAGCCCCTAGTAGCGTTCTTGCTCCTAGTATGTTCCTAGTAGTAAGGCCAGGAGCCCCTAGTAGCGTCCTTGTTCCTAGTAGTACGGCCAGGAGCCCCAAGTAGCGTCCTTGCTCCTAGTAGTAAGGCCAGGAGCCCCTAGTAGCGTCCTTGCTCCTAGTAGTGAGGCCAGGAGCTCCTAGTAGCGTCCTTGCTCCTAGTAGTAAGGCCAGGAGCCCCTAGTAGCGTTCTTGCTCCTAGTAGCGATGCCAGGAGCCCCTAGTAGCGTCCTTGTTCCTAGTAGAAAGTTGTGGCCTCTCATGACCTTTAGTCTCACCCCATGAGATCCATAGTTTCTTGGGCAATATATTTTGATAGGTAATGACTTTCCATAAGAGTTGAAAAGGCCCAACATCAGCCAACAAATTTTGGACCTTTGGATTGGGTCAGGTTGATGACACTCACTTGGACCTTACCTGACATTAACTGCAGATGTCAATGATGAAGGTCCAACTAGCCATGGCTTCCCTCGCTCCCTAACCTGGAGCCCCAGTGTGAAACACCATGGTTTCGGAGTAGATGGCACAAATCCAGAGCTGGCAGTCGTGTTCACCGCTTCAATTGGCTTTGTCATTGTAGCAGTTGTTTTGGTTGCGTGCTCCACGTAAATCATTTCTACATGAAAACCACAAAAACGTTCATTGCCCTTGTGCCACCTACCCAGGTCCGCCACCGTGGTTTCTTCAGCCGCCCCGACACGTCGTGAGGCGGGTGTGCTGCACTTCGCCGTCGACGCTGGCGCCGCACTGAACTTCGCTATTGCTGGCGGTGGCTCCGCGGGGCGGCTGCAGCTGCGGGAGGGACAGGCCTCTTTCTGCTGCTGGTTCTTTGAGATTCTCAGCGCTGTTTTTTGGCGTCAATGCCCATTTCTGGGAGACCTGCTACCTTGTACGATATCATCAAATTGGCATCAGATAAGAACCAAAGTCTGTATAAAATCTCCAAACCGCCAGCAACCACTTTGACCCAATTAGAATGCATTTTCCCAGACACTAAGAAAGTCACATGTTTGCAATGAGTGAGCTGCTAGCTTTGACCAGCCCGGATACTGTCGACTGAAATATCTTTTGTGTTGACAAATTTCTTCAACCTCCAACGAAGCCTCGCTGGTGAACTCTCATTCGGCGGCCCCAGTATTGACAACTACCTTCCAAGAATTGTAAGCTACAGAGCACAAGACGGGAACTTCCTCAACCAGGGGGTGCAACTCCTTTGAACAGACACTGGGGACGTTGAAAAGGGGTGCTTTCTGCTGCGAAGGTTCAACTAGGCTTCGAAGAAAAACCACTCCTCACTCGGACCAAACCTGTCTGCAGCTTTTCTGCCAGGAGGCCACCGGTGCCTGCTTCAGCTTTCGTGGCTGGGATGATGACGTCACGCAAACCGTTGCGTTCCGACCATGAAACACCTGATGTTTTGAGAGCGATGGCCTCCAACCTAGAAGCGATGGTCTCTTACTAGCAATTAGCGATGGCCTCCAAGCTCATTCCATTGTGCCGGGGGCTGAGAAATCACGGGGGTTTGTGCATTTTGAGCCTCCGACCTGTCCAGTCAAACTATGATCGATTGTTGCAGTTTTTACATGGATACTGCAGTTTGAACATTCTCAACCCCATCCTGCCCAGGCGAAACGATAGCTTAGACGTAGATCATCCTCGCTTGCACTCTGCAAACTGCCAGTAACAAGAAGCTACTAGGGGCTTACTACTAGGAGCGATCGGACGCTACTAGGGGCTCCTGGCATCGCTGCTAGGAGCAAGAACGCTACTAGGGGCTCCTGGCCTTACTACCAGGAGCAAGGACGCTACTAGGGGCTCCTGGCATCGCTACTAGTAGCATTCTTGCCAGTGTTGAGGCTTGGGCCCCTCGAGCTATGAATACGAAGGACGGATGTGGGTCCGGCGGGGTCGAGCCGAGGATGTCGCTTGGTGGGGAATGTATCAGAGTAGTGAGAACATCAGCAAAAGGCGTGTGCAGACAGGCCAAACCTATGAAGACTTTACATAACAAGCAGTGTAGTATGGACCCTTCTCCGTGTTTAAGATGTGTTCATATTCGGACCTGCTTCCTTGAAATGCTCCACCAATTCGTGTGCTTGGCAGTTTCCCGGATATCCTCAAGACAGACGCCAGAAGAACCTTCGATTGGAACTTGATTACGTACCCCGTTTAGACTAGCTTGACAGGAGTGCGGGCATTTCCCTTGTTGTGTGGCTTTAAGCATCACGCGCCGCGCTCGAATGGAACAGGCTAGTTGTGCCATGTGTTAGACCTGGACACCCGAAGCACCCAATCTTCGGCCCAAGTGAATCTCTTCATAGTCAACTTCGAAAAAGAACACATGCAGTCCGTCTTTCGTCTTTCGCGTACCGCTCGTGCGGAACCCGTGTCGAAAGACGCGTCCGACCGCGTCGTTTCGAGGCCGCGTCGTCTTGGACCTTGGCGCCTTCGTTGAGCGCTCAGAGGTGGGGAAGTTTGGGATTTGAGACAGACGCGTCTCCAACTTAATAGCGATGGCCTCCAACCTACTAGCAGACAGAAACAGACCGGCACATGGGGGAAAATGCAAATAGCACAGGTACATAGCTCGAGGGCTCTTTCTCGCCAGACGCTTTTCAGCCAGCTAAAGTGCAGTAGATTGCAGAAGAAGACCACCTATCAAGTATCAAGAAGGCCACCTATCATACGAACTGACTGGCTTACCAAGTTGGGACAGGCACCTGCCGCAGTACTAATTTGTTCCAAAAATTGTTTACGTGATTTTGGGACGAAGCTGGCCTTTTTCAGGAAGCATGATGCAACTCTTCGACCCACACGCAAGTCGACAGGTGAGCAGGAGCTTGCTAGGTGACGGAAGGCAAATTCGCAGTCAACAGTGACCCAACACAATGAACTCAAGTGTGGCAGACAATACTTGCTGTAGCGCAGGTCGACAAGGTGTCTATGCCGTACCAGTAGTTTCGTTTGACCCATGATGATGATGATCCTCCTCCTCCTCCTCCTTGAACTCACCCAGAACAAAGCTGCATCCCCGCTCGACGTGGACTCGATGCTGATCCACATAAAAGCGATGCCCTTTCTAGTAGCATCTAATAGCGATGGGTTCCCTAGTAACGTTCCTGCTACTCGTAGCGATGCCCTTGTTGCTGATGGCGATGGCCTCCAACCAGTCAAACGCTTTCGCAATGAAATGCATGTCCTGTAGCTGCTCATGTAAGAGTGCTTGCCGGTGAGGGTTCGATAAATCGCGGGAAAGGCCCAGAAAAGATTTGGCCATCAGGCAGATACCATGCTCCACTTGCTCACTTTGCCTATGGGCCATTGTTACACCTGCTTTCCTGCCGCCCTTGTGTAACCCATGCTGGAAGCTCTGACAGCAACTGACACTGAGCTGCTCTGCCAGGTCTGCCAGATCTCCTTGCGGCGCTGCTCCAGCAAACCCGCTGCGCGGGGTTTGAAGCCCCTGCGGCGTTGCTATTTGGCGCCGTTCCCCGCCATGGTCGGGGCGGTGCAAAGAACGTGGGGAAATGCGGTCACATGGTGGGCACTTGTTCCTAGAAGCGATGCACTTGTTACTACTAGTAAGGCACTTGTTACTAGAAGCGATGCACTTGTTCCTAGTAGCGAACATTGCTCCCAGTAGCGATGCCAGGAGCCCCTAGTAGCGTCCTTGTTACTACTATGGTGGGTTGCTGGTGATGGGAGACTGCTAGATGATTTTGAATGGCGCCATTCTGATGTTCTCTGACGTTCTGACCCTTTGGATGGGGATGGCTATATACCCTCAAGATGGTTCTGACTTCCGAAGGGAATGGGTCCAAATCCCTTTTCCAAAGTTGACCCTCAATGCCAAAGCACAAACTCCGAGAATATGTGGTAAATGAAGGATCGCTCTTGTTGATCAGGACATGCCAAAGAACCCTCCAGGCCCTCCACATCGAAAATCGTCACGGTTCCACATGCCAGCACTTTTCAGCACTTGTCCGACCGATGCTGGCAGTTTTGATCCAGTTCGATCTTCTCCTCTGCTTTGAGGCTGGAGGAAGGTGCTGGCTGCACCCTTCTGGAGGTGCAGAGGGGGGTGTTCTATGACGTCAACCGGCTCCCCGTCGGTGCAGAGGGGAAGTCGGTGGAGTGACGTTGATGGCCTCATCGCTACCAGGTTGGAGGCCATGGGAGGCCATGATATTCCGATTTGCAAAGTCGCGAGAGTGAAGAGTGTTTTTTTCTTGCCGGGGCAATCAGCAAGTGAAGAATTCAAGCAATTTTGGGCTCACAGAGGAGGGATTGTCAAAATGTCTGATGTATTGAGTAGGTTTGGAACGGACGTTTTGTTTTGTTGGGCTCCAAGCGTTTCATACAAACCCCAGTTGAATTGATGTGCCAACAAGATCTAAAGATTGACGCATCGAGATGATTTTTATTTTCCTCCCAGAGGCGAGCGTTGGTTGCCGAAAGGACCATTGAACGAACATGGGGTGCTACAACATGGCAACGAGAACGCAACGGATCCCGTTGGCAGCAAAAAGTAACTCAGTAACTCACGAGTGCAAAGTGTCCCATTTCGCACCTGGAGACCCTTCGAACCGACGCTACGAACGGGGCTCTGACTCCATGTCTTTGGCGCAGTGGCACTTGTAGCACTGAGGTATGGCCAGGTGAGGTCCGTGGGTGGGGTCGGTTGACGGCACCGAGCGAAGAAACAGGGGTCTCACAGCTCTATTGCAATTGTGGGTTGCTGTGGTGACAATGAAGTTACCTATGGCAGAGTTAGGGACACTTCATTTGATTGCTCCTCAGTTATTTTGGGCAAAGTTGATTCAGAGTCCCATTGTCTATCTAAGCTTGACCGGGACTGATATCCAGAAGATTTCTTGACACCAGTTTCAACCACACAATTTCTTCTCGTAAGACTTGTTGAGTACCATTCATTACCACCAGCGTTGTTCCCTAAATCCAACGCAAATTCTGACACCCTTTGTTCACAGCTTCAAGTTGGAGCAGCTGTTCGGCGTTGTTCTTTCGATGATGGCCCCCATGATTTGAGTGAAGATCTAGGGTTGTGCCGCTGTTTTGAAATAGTTGAAATAGTCAAGTTTGTTTGATGTTTAGCAGGTTGGCGCTGCAGCTCAGTTGAGGGCTGACATGTGAATGCTTTGTAGTTGCACAGGAGTTTGAGAACTTGCATAGGACTTCATGCTGCGAGCGTTTAAACAACCTGGGTTGAGGTTCGCAGGGTATCTTTTCATTTCTAGCCGGGGACCTGCGCATGTTTGGAAACATCCCTAGGCATCATACTCTACAGTATTGCACCAATCTTTTTTCACCGAAAAAACAACAAGATGGAGCCCACGAACCCGAATGCAGACACGTTCGAAAAGCTACAAATGACACTCTTGTAGGACACTCTTGTGGGACACTCTTGTGGGACACTCTTGTGGGACACTCTTGTAGGACACTCTTGTGGGACACTCTTGTGGGACACTCTTGTGGGACACTCTTGTAGGAAACTCTTGTGGGACACTCTTGTAGGACACTCTTGTGGGACACTCTTGTAGGAAACTCTTGTGGGACACTCTTGTAGGGCACTCTTCGTACGAGACTTCCTCCAAAAGTCACACGTCAAGTCTCCAAAACGAGCGTTTCGTACGAGACTTCCTCCAAAACTCACATGTCAAAGTCTGCAAAGCGAGCATTTCGTACGAGACTTCCTCCAAAAGTCAAGTGGAAACACCCATCGGAGCACACACATCACGCAGCCCTGCCAAGCAGCTTCGCGAGTCCAGCCCCGGCAAAAAACACCCGTTCACACGCCAATCCCACTGTGACAGCGACATTCACCTCTACCACAACTCACGACCTCACAATTCCCTGCGCCTGCCACGAATCTTTCCGCATCCACACGTCTAACGCGTTCAAAGTACTGCGCCTGCCACGAAATGTCACCTCCGTCACACCTTGCAACCTCACGATTCCCTGCGCCTGTCACGAGAATCGCACTTCCACACCTCAAAAGCCGCACAAAGTACTGCGCCTGCCACGAAAAGTGACAATATCATCTCATGTGAGCTTCAACAAAATTTGCATCACACCACACGTTTGGAATGACTTCGACCCGTTCTGAGCACACTCCCATCCACCAAAATCGGCATTTCAGCTGAGACTTGTCACGAACACCCCAAAAACACGACTCTCCAAACGCTAATCCCAATGGAACTGCCTAGCAAACTGCGGATCTCACAAAACGCTGCGCCTGTGCAGCGAAATGCATCACGCTTCTTGCGCGACATGTCATTTTCATGCAAATCACAATGGAATAGCGAAAAGTCACATTTGCAAAAGCTTCCCCCAATGGCAGCGCCTTAGCGCTCACGGCTGCGGACGGTTGCGAACATAGAAACAACGGGTCGCGAACACGGCTCTACCCCCAGACCCCCAGAGTTAAACGAGAACTCTTCGCTACGCATTCGGGAAAAACACATGACAAAAAGACGAACAGCCGCCCCTTGCGCATGTCTTAGGGAACCCAGTTTATGAGGTTTTTTACTGGGACTGGTGAGCTTGCAGCATTCTTCCACGATGTGCGGTCCACCCGCAGGAGACGACTGCAAAGCGCTCTTGTCTCCAAGAGACACGACGTCTCAAAGGCTGACGTCGGGACGTCGGGATGGGACGAGCCACGATCCGTCAGGTTTTGTTTCCCCTTGGCGATTCGATCTGATTTGACTCCGAAAAGATGGCATTCCGCAGTGAAACAATGTTCGCTAGTAGAAACAAGTGCATCGCTTCTAGTAACAAGTGCCTTACTAGTAGTAACAAGACGCTATTAGAAACTTGCTACTATTGCCCCATCACATGTAGAATGCGTGCGCCAACCTACGCCTGTAGGTGGTTGGACGCACCCGGGTCAGGGAAGAGGCACCACGTAGATGCATTTCGTTGGTGGCCGAAGGCCATTGGTCGCCGAGGAGACGAAGGAGGCAGGCTGAAGCCAAGCCGCTTTGTAGCACAGGTGACGCGAAAAGGATGCAAGAGTGAAGTGGAAGGCGTGCCATTCCCTCTGCCCCAACGCCTTGATGGACCCCCGAGCAAACCACCAAGCCTACGCCAGGCAGCATGGGCACAAGTGAAGACTCAGGGCCGCATGAGCGGACCAACCTCTTCACCAGAAACTGTAGTGGACGCATGGCTATGGCCTATCAAGGCTAAGTGGACCGCTCAAGGCTATGAGTGCCTATCTCCTAACTCTGCAGCTCCGTTTCGCTGCTTGAGCTTGAGCCAGATGTCTTGAGCCAACGAAAAGCTTGTTAATTCTTGTTATAGAAGAGCCTCCTGACGCTGCTCACGTGACCCTAAAGCTTCACTGACCCCAATGCTTCACTCAATGGCCTGATTCGGTAGGAAAAGACATATAGCGATGGCCTCCAACCTAATAGCGAATAGACACGATGGAATTGATCTTTTTGAGCTGCAAAATCAAGCATCTCGCGTTGATGGAAATGGGGCTCACTAAAAGAGGGGGCTTGATACAGACACATCCAATTCCGGTTTGCCCAAAAGTACTGCAGAAGGCAGGTCATTCACCAAAGAAGGATTGAGACCACTGCTGTGCGGAACCCACAAATCAGCATGGGGATTGCTATTTTGCTGCGTCAGCCAACAGCTCACAATATTTGGCAACGAAAAGCCCATGTCTATTCCAAGGCGTTTTCCTAGTTGCTCGCAACTAAGTTCTTACGGCGAGGGTAAGGTAGGGTTGGTGGCCAGGGTTCCCGCTCTGTTCTTCGCCTTCTTGGTGGACCTTCACAAAAAGATTGGCCTCATGGTTGGTATACATGGCCATTCTTCGTGACAGGTGCAGGTCGTGCAGGGCGCATTTTCAATGTTTCGTGGCAGGCGCCAGGGAATGCTCGTATTTTGGTGGTCTCAAGTCAACTGTTGGTGGCACGCGCAGCAGATCGGAGGGGATGTGCAGATTTCGTGGCAGGCCTTCGGCGTGCTCAAATTTCTTGCTGGGGGCAATGAACATTGGGAGGCTTGGCTCTCTTTTTTGAAAATTGGGAGAAGTATCCAACGAAAGGCGGGTTTTGTAGCTCAAGTTGTCTTTGAAAGTGCATAGTTTTGCGATCTCTAGGTGCAGATTTCGTGGCAGATGTCGTGCTTAGTGAGGAGGCGTCATACGTGTTCTCGCTCTTATGTGTGTCCTCTTGTGATTGTGTGTGTGTGCTGCGCTCTCAGATGTGTGCTCTCATGCGAACTCGTGTGTATGCTCTCGTTTTCATGTGTGCCCCCACATAGGCGCTTCGACATGTTTGCTCTCACGTGTATTCTGTTGTCTTTGTTTGCGCGCTCAATTTGCGTTCTTATGTGTGCTGTCACTTGTGTACCCTCATGTATCTCCTCTCATGAAGGTGTTCTTACGAGGCCTTATGTGTGCTCTCAAGTGTGTGCTCTGGTGATCTCTCGTGGCACGCCTTTGGCGAGTCAGGGATCCGTTCGGGAACTGTTGAAGTTGAAGCAGCTGCTGATGGCAAAACTCAGCCACTTCAGGGGGTAGGCGCCTATGATTGGAGTTTGGACGGCCCTTGCGTGTCGTATTCGGCGAGAAGTTCACGTGGCGGCCTCGCTCTCAATCGGGCGCAGTGCGCCACACAACCAAACCAGGTTAGGTGCCCTAGGTCTTTGTTGAGGAGGTATGGCTTTGCCCTGTTTGTCCCCTTTCATCTGGTTTGGTCTTTATTGTAATCGCACACCTTTCCTGTTTTCTTTTGATGTCTTTCACACACCGGCTCGGGCCCTAGTGTACTCGTGGGCGCAACCACACTAGTTGACAGGTGCTTGAAGTTTGCTACAATGAGGTCTGGCTCATTGGTTGTCCCTGGTCATCTGGTTCCTTTCATTGCCTTCACCCACTTTGCGCGCCCTTTGTGGAATTGAAGGTTACCTTTTGGTATTTTGGAAGACTTTTCACCTTTTGGTATTCAGGGGTGCTGATGAGACCGATGCCAACAAAGACGCTCATCAGTTACCTTTGATACAGTTGGAGACGTCCGACTGCGTACTGCGTACCTGCAGAATTAAATCTTTCATTTCTTCATTAACCCCGTTCTTAACTAGAACAATTTCTTGCCATTGCAGTGGTTCTCTCACGGCAGTCACGCACCAGTGCTTGTAGACTTGATCGGAACTTTGAGGTCTCAGGCCCTGACTTGACACATGAACTCTTCGGGATGGTCAGACCCCTTACACATTCTACTTACGCCTTTTTTCACCCAGGTTTGCGAGTGGCATGCAGCATTCACATCGCACGCACGCTTTTCCTGAGTGTGTGAATAGCGAACGTGGTCTGAGGAAGCCATTCTTTTCTAGGATTCACTTTTCTTATTTCAGGGGAATGGTTGCGTGTTTGAATCGGGAACTTGGTTGGTTCGAGGCCGCCTCTCTTTTCTGGGACTCACCTTACTTTGTTGCCTCCCTGATTTGCCTGCCCTTGCGGGGCCAGCGTGTGCGAAGTATATGCTTGGTTGTCAATGATCCGCGTACTTGACATGTCATGTCATGCCATGTCCGCTCCATTGGATGGAGTCGAGTCTTTATGATTTTGGACCCACAGGGCCGTGGTCAAACGAGGTTCCAACACATATCCCTTCCACATTTTTCACACGTGCAGTGTGTGCCATATGTGTTTGCGCATGCTGTCATATGTGGCCTGTCACATGCGTGTTGTCATGGGACACGTGCTGTCATTTGCATGCCTCCCAGTGTGTGTTGCGCTCTCTTATCTGGGTTTGCAAGTGTGCCGCCATATTTGTGTTGTCATGTGTGTGTGTTCTGTTCCACGTGCTCCCATATGCGTGCTCTTCTATATGTGCTCCTCTCTGTGTGTGTGTGTTTTCATTTTGTTTTCACATATGTGCGCTCTCAGGTGTGCTCTCAGGTATGTGCTCTCTCCAGGTGTGCGCTTTCATATGTGTTGTTGCAGGGTCATAATTTTTCAAAGCAAAGAACCACCAAAAGTCCTCTCAGTTGGATGGTCTTCTCCTTCCTTTCTGCCGCAGGCGACAGTTTTGTCTTTGCAGTGGGGCGGCGTGGCTGCAAGTGATGACCCCCCCAACCAGGCTCACTTGGCCATGTGGCACCTGCATGAGATGTGCTTGGCTCACACTTAGCCATTGGAGATCCCAAAGCAACCCGATACCATTCAGCAAACAAGAGTGTTTGTTTCTGCAGGTTTTTGTAACCAAAGGTGGATTTTGGTGGACCATTGTGTGGCCGTGGGTTTATGTGGCAGGCGCTTCAAAACAGAAAACAGGAGACACCCCGGTGCGATCGGAGAAGAATGGAAACTATATATATATGTATACACACACACTACATGCATAGATATACATATAAATGTAGAATACCACCAGTCAACAAAGGTGAAGACATGAGAAAACATGTTTTATATTTTTTCACACAATGCAATGCATGACGGCATGAATATATCCCCGTCAGTTGAAGTTTATTTTTTCCCCAGTAACGATAAACATCCTTGTGAGCGCAGTTTGTTACAAGCATGGTACCCTCCCAAACGCACGCGCTGGATTTTCACCCCTTACTCACACTCACGTCCACATGGGTGTGGGTCCAGGCATAGCCACCACGAAGAAGGTGAGTAAGGAGTGGGAACCTGTGAGAAAAGTGCAATTATTGAGGCTGAATTTTGGGCACACCATTGTTGAAACCAGGTCTTCGACAAGGAGAACCCTCAAGTATCAAGTCAACCTAAGGCTTTCTGGTCCGTAAAGTGTTTGCACCCATTGAGTGTGGGAGAACCATATCGAACGACCATGAGATTTGCAGATGACATCACCCAGCAGTGGCAAGTGCTTTGGGACCAGGGATTTAGCTTGTATCTCACCCAGGGAGAACGACTTTCTATGAATTTGGTGGGTTGTCAGCAAAGACACATTGAGCATGGGGTGTCCATTTGTTTCTGACAGACGCTTTCTTCCACCCCGAGGCACCAAAGGCCTAGTTTGATTGCGAAGGCGTTTTAAACACTGGTCTTTGTGAAGGTTCAAGTCTATTTTGAGGTGTGACCTGCTCACCATATGAGCAGAGGGTGTTACCTGATTCGTGTTGGCGGTATTGAGAACCTCAGGTATATATTAGAGGCCTTCTCCCGAAAAGACCGGTAGGGAAAACTGAAAGACAGGTTGGAGAAGACGAAGGTGGAACAAGAAGCTACTAGTAACAAGTGCATCGCTACTAGTAACAAGTGCCTTATTAGTAGTAA